TACATCGGTTTAGAATGAATAAAGCATGTTTTTAATGAATCTGAATGTAGAGATACGAATCAAAATGCTATATCGGATGGTCGATTAATTCCCGGAAATTATAATCTTTGACTAATGCTAATATGGTATTTAACATCAGTAAAAATTGTAATTTATCCATATTAAAAGCAAGTTTTCAATTGACATAATCTTTGTGCCCTCGGAATCTTTGAATTTACCGTCAAACATGTTCAGAAATATTAAATTTTAAAACTGCTGTGCTTGCTCATAGGACCAGAAATTTCTATAAAATTGTAACAGAGCTCACAGTGTTAAAAAAACACCATCAAACAAATAGACTGTTGAGAGAGCACCACCTCATTGTATGACAAAACACGTATTTTAAAATACTCCTTGCGAGCTTTGTTTTTGGGGTTAATGAAACACGCATTCACTCTAGGAGGTCTGGATTCTCAATTCACCTTGATTTGTCATTTCATGTATTACGAAATTTCGATCATATTTCAGGTAGTATCTTCGTCCTGAGAAAATCTACCTTCGTAGATCTTATTGCGAAAAAACATCATAATTTTCTTATATATCAAAATGTATTACAGAAGTACAGAGGTGAATTCACATACCAAATTTTAGTTTATTCCTGTTGACTTTTTGAAGATATTAAAAAAATGTTTTTTATTTTTAAACTTCGAGGCAAAAATGTTACATAGAAGACCCCCCTTGAAATGCGGACCGTGTATGATATTTCATTTTTGTTCACGACTTGTGAATCAGCCTGTATAGTGTAGAATCTATTTATCACTTTATTGGAATGCTCAAAATTGAATCATAACCTAAAAGTCATGGTGACTTGGGACACCAGACTATCATTGTTACAATGGATCACTCTGTACACACTGTGATAAAACAAATAAATCACGCTTCAGCAAAGGCAAGGAAACCTATTTACATTTGTCATGTTTTTCTCCTTGTGCGGAAAAACAGAAAAAGAAACTTGCGCGTAAGATCCGAACTGTTTGGATACAGCCCAACTGTAGTTGGCACTCCGCGGGGTATTTCCAGATATGCCCAGTGTTTTTCTTGTTCCAAATTTACGGGCCAGTCCTCTAGCTGGTTTTGTTTCACTCGCCTGTGATGCGAGGTGCTCGTAATGTCCCGCAGCGGAAAGTTTAAAGTTTAAAGTTTGGAATCCGTGGAACTAAAAATAATCTGCAGTTGCTTCGGGTGATAAGAGTTCAAAAGGGATGTACGGAGGTTTCTGGACTAGTGGGGGCTAAATTTTGACTTGATAAAATAGTTTAAAAGTGGATTATGGCAATGGAAACTCTACTGGCTGATGAAAGTAAGTAGCAATGTAGTACCCTCAAAACTGATTAATAATACAAAAATGCAACTGGAAATTTTTTTGGGGTCTGATTGCTTAGGTGATGTGATCTTATTTCGTACGCCATTGGACGAGGAAGTACTGTAATCGCGAAAAATTTCGGAAATAAGATATGATGTTTTTTGGGTGTTATCATGTACGTCATGAAAATAAGCTTATAACCGCCTATAAATAATGTGAGACGTACCGCTCGGATTTCGATGAAAGTTTTACACAATGTTCCTACTATGCCAAGGACGCAAAAGCTTTGTAGTTTTTGAAAATTGGTCCAGTGGCGGCGGAGAAAAAGGTCAAAAACTAAAAATATTGACGTTTTAGAGGTGCCTGATCGATTACAGAAAAAATTTGTTGGGCTTGAAATTTGTGGGTAGGGGGTTCTAGGGGGTACGCGAGAGTGTATAAAAATTTGCTGATCCTAGCATATATATACGCCCCCAACCTGGGTAAGTCTATGCACATATTAGCCATATTTCACACATCTTAAAGAAAACTATAATAATTCCAAAATCTTATCAATTAAATTTCTTAACGAGGCCCGGTTTTTATCTGTACAAAATACAGCCGTATCGTCTGCAAAGCCAACAATTACTTCTTGAGTCTCTAAAGAAAAAGTTATTTATACTGAACAGAATTGGCCCTAAAACTGTTCACTGTGGTATACCGTATGATACGTGACGAAGCTCGGTAACTAACAGTAGTGTGGGAAATGAATGTCTATGGACTAATTATATGGGCCTGCTTGACTAACACAATATGCTTAATTTCTCTGTTGTACATGTTCGGAACTCAATTTTTTCTCAGAATATTTAAATCGCGCTAAACTTAATCATTTAAGAACTGATGACGGGGTTGCAAAGTCCAGCCACTTGACGCCATTTTTTTGTAGGTTAATGCGAGAGGGAATTGACATTTTTACGATCAAACAAAAGTCCTCAGAAAGATCCAGTCTGTATAGTTTCACGAGGTTCAAATGATGGAAATTGGAGTTAACGCTCTTAAAGCTGCTGTCTCAATTGACTTAAAGGTGCATTCACAGTGAAAGTTCAAAGTTATCAAGTCCCTATTAGAAAACCCGATATACCTGTATATAGTGACTTCGAAGTTGAGTCATTTATTTTAACAGTGAGTAGATCTGATCAAAAGAAATGTTTTTTTCCTTCAACATTTTTCTGGTAAAATTAAAGTAACAAAGTTATAGCCCTTTAGAAGTTTGAGTACCGCCCTGTCTCAATAATAATATTATGTGCTCGTGTTTGGCAACAACGGATATAATCCGCCTTATCGGTTCATCGCACCGGAAACAAAAAAGCGAAAGAATTTGAAACGCTGATCACGATGTTTTTATTCAGTCAATGTGTCAGTCGGTAACGTGTGAGTGAATAGTGGTGTTTGCTGCGTGGCTCAAACGAAATAAAAAATGGCACATGTTTATGCGGATCGGTTTCCCAATCGAGTGCAACGAACCCCTCGTGCCTTTGTTAATGTATTACAACGGGCTCGTGAATCAGGTGACTTAAGACCTCACAGGGGAGGGCATTCCGGTGCTCCAAGACCGCACGATCAACTTCAGGTCCGCACTGAAATACTTGTCGGGAGGATACTTTATAAAACAAGGTAACATTTTTTTTAATTTTTTTTTATTTTTACACACATATTTTGGTTTATCTTCCTTCTACAATCATTATCTGAAAATTAATGACTCAACTTCAAAGTCACCCTGTATATCATGCCTTAATTGAGCCGCACCTAATGTATGGTATATTAGTATGGGGTACAGCATGTCCAGTGTATTTAAATGACATAGAAGTTTTACACTGAACTATTTTAAAAACTCGGAAAACCAAAATTATATTCAACAAATGAGACCATAATGAAGCGATCTTTTCTCTATTCGGCTCCAAAATTATATGAACACGTAACCAATGACTTAATACAATTTCGAAATACACATAATTTTAAAAAGAGATTATCAAAATGGGAAGACAACATATTATTGAATTCCTTGAAAATTATTATGCTCTACACGTACAATACACCTCTTTGTTATAAAGTTTCTTTTAACTTTTTTATTTTGATTTTGGAAAAAATTCCAACATATAACTGATCCATGTACAGGCATTACCTTTCTGCAGATTGACACATTTATTTACCCATTATATGTTGTTATTGTTTTCATATGTATAATCGAGTACTAGGGTCCGTCAGAAAGAACGCATGGTTTTTAAATGAGTAGTACAGTCAAAATAAGTATGGGAAAAATATTTTATTATATCAAAATATACAGAAATACATGCCATTTTTTTGAGTAAAACAAAATTTACGTTCTAAAAACTATGTCGGCTATATGGCGCCCTTGAGCCGAAATGCAGGAATCAAGCCTCTCCCGAAATGAGCCCATTGCGAGGGCCAGCATCCGTGCAGGAATTTGGGTTATTCCTGTTCTAATTTCCTCCTTTAAAATCTATGGGGTCCGGGGCTTGCTTTGGTAAACTTTTGATTTCAGGTAGCCTCATAAAAAACACGTTGACGTGGAGCGAGGGGGCCGTGGAATATCGCCATGACGTGAAATGAGACGTCCTGGGCATTTTTGCCGAAGACGTTCCATCGATGTACGAGCTGTGTGTTGCCCCGTCTCGTTCGTTCACTGGAGACGAATATCGACAATTTTGTTTATTGATGTAAATGAAAATGTGCCTCATCACTCATAAACAACGTCATGTCATTGTTATCCAACTGTTCAATCATGAGGTCTGCAAAATTAACTCGTTATGCATAATCCCCTGGCAACAGTTGTTGACAAACTTGGATTTTGTAAGGATGGTACGCTAAATCCATCTTCGAAATGCGACGTACAGAGGACGCGTGGATCCCTAGGGAACTGGCACGCAAATGGACGGAAGGATTCGGGCTTTGCAGAGTGTCCACTCTCACTCTATCTAACAGTATGGTTTCGTCCTGGCGATTTTTTCTTCATCAAATTATCTATTGTGTTGAATACTTCCACCCATCTTAAAATGGTGTTACGGTCTGGTACTGTCCCACGACGTGGAACACGAACGTGAACGCGAAACTCACGTTGTGCCAGAACCACAGACTCGCCATTTTGAAAGTACCGACGTACAGTGAACACACGATGCTCAACGTTCCAAACCATCTTGCCAACTGAAACGGCACTTCTCCCACTATCCAAGACGCCCTTCCCCACCGGCACGGGATCAGCCCACTCGATGTAGTAGACATTCGAAAAACATGAGTTTTTTCTGACGGACCCTACAAAACTCTACACACTGTATGTAATACTACACAGATTCTGTCTTTCTATGACCTTCAGAGTTCGTCAGCGGGATGCACTTTTAAAAAGTTCATCTTTTTCGGCAGCTTTAGGGATGCTCTGCTGTACCTCAAAACTCTAATATTATCATCTTTCATTTTAGCGGTCTTTCTGACGATAGAACATATTTAGCTAGGAGCTACTTCAGTACAATTCCTCTTACGTTATCTCTGATTATTGTGTATATATCTTTCTTCGCGATTTTAAAACCTCTCCACCCCCTAACAAAACCATTTCATCCCCCAACAGCACCCTTTGTCATGGCAAGTCTCCGCGGACGGCAAAAGGATGATCGGGCACATGATCCTGAGGAGGAACTCCAGGGAAACGGGAGGTTCCAGCGCCGCCATTTTGGGACTCAAAGTGGTGGGAGGCAAGATATTAGACAATGGTATGAAAGGAGCTGTGATAGAAAAGGTTAAGAAGGGGAGTATCGCCGATGTTGAGGGACAACTTCGCGCAGGTGAGTCTTTTAACTTTTTTTTTGATGAATCAAAATTTGAGAAGTACGCGGCGGGAATTGAACCAGTATTGGAAGTGCAGCATATTTGGAATACTGTAGCTAACTTGGAATGCTTAGTTATCTAAGTCAACGTAAACGGTATCTGTATTTTTTTGCCGTGAATATAATGTCGTAAATCACACGGAACCACAAGCAATAAAAACAGGACGCCACCTTGACATTTCCTGCTACCAGCCGCATAGGAACGAGACGTCTACTTTGAAAACTTTTTCGGTAAGGACGCAATCATTGATAATCACTTACTATGATACGTAAAATCTTCATTTTAACTGTTATGTCTTCTTGTTTGCAATATTATTTTCATTTTGTGAATATATCTAGAATTAAAGATGTGACAAGGAATTTTAAGTGAGCAGTTATGTTGCCAATTTGGAATAGGTACAGTGCGAATTGTGGGTTCACGCTGCGTGTAGTGGTTATGAATCCAGTGTGTATATCTGTGATTATTGTAAGAACAGTAACTAAGAACACTGAACTATAAGTTCAAGCTAAATACTGATTTGTGATTATTGTGACTGATACTAATATACTAAGTGACATATAAATCCGAACACCCAGTTTAAATGGTTTTATTTTAATAAAAGTTGGTGAATGTATTTATCTTACTGTAAATAACAAGTGACAAAATTTTCAGCCTTATCAGTTGGACATTCCGGTTTTTATACTGCTTTTTTTTAATTCACTAACGCTCTAAAAATGAATATTTCAGCCGCAGTAAAGAATCAACGTTGGCGGATTTTGGTTCTTGACATCCTTTACGATCGGTTACGATGCCCAGAGTACGGAGACCTGTACGATTTCGTCAACTTAGTGAGTTTGATAGGGGCCGTATAGTGGGACTTCGGGAAGCTGGACTTTCTTTTCGGGCAATTGCAGTTAGAGTGCAAAGAAGTGTAGACACTGTGGTTAGGTGTTGTCAGGCATGGCTTCGAGAAGGCCGTACGCAAAGAGCAAGGGGCACTGGACGCCGCCGTACAACAACAGACCGTGAAGATCGCCGCCTAAGATTATTGGCCTTAAGGGACCGTTTCTCCACTACCAGGTCCATTGCAAATGAATGGTTTGCAGAACACGGAACACCTATTGGCATGCGAAGTGTTTACCGACGAATGAGAAGTTTTGGCTTGTTTTCATACCGGCCACACTGGGTCCTCCCTTTAACTCGAGAACACCGACGTAATCGCCTTGAGTGGTGCAGACAACGGTCACTCTGGGATCTGGAATGGAACAGTATTGTCTTTAGTGACGAGTCTCGATTTTGTTTAGGCATGCACGATGGCCGTGCCAGGGTTAGAAGGCGACGTGGTGAAAGGAGGAATCCACAGTTTTTTGTTGAAAGACATGTTCATCACACTGTTGGAGTTATGGTTTGGGGTGCTATAGCTTATGGTTCCAGGTCACCTTTAATCTTCATCAGAGGTAACAACAACGCGCAGCGTTATATCCACGAAGTTCTAGAACCCCATCTTTTACCCTATCTTGACACCCTGGCAGATCCAACTTTCCAACAAGATAATGCCCGACCACATGTTGCAAGAGTCACAATAGACTTCTTTCAACATAATGATGTCACATTGTTACCATGGCCACCAAGATCTCCCGACTTATCCCCAATTGAGCACGTGTGGGATATGATGGGTAGGAGATTGCTCAATTTGCAACGTCCTCCTCAGACTCTAGAAGCACTTCGAGAGGAGTTGGTGGTTGCCTGGAATGAGATACCACAGGAGGACATTGACCACCTGATCAGAAGCATGCCTAGGCGCGTTGGAGAATGCGTAGCACATCAGGGTGCATCCACACATTATTAAAGGTCAAAGGGCTTTAAAGCAGTGCAATCATTTTGAAATTTTTATCATTTACTGATTATGCTTCATTAAGTACTTATACAAAATTTTATTAAAATAAAACCATTTAAACTGAGTGTTCGGATTTATATGTCACTTAGTATATAATCAATCATTAGTTAAGTACATGAAAATGATATTCACAGCAGTACAATGATATTTCAGAAAAAAGCAATTTTAATTTCAATTGTTCTATGTTTGGCCACAGTGTAAAATATTTTCCTGGAGCGGATATGCTTGTATTTGGGTTTCTAGGTACAATACAGTATTTGTAAGTCGAAGTTCTGATCCATTTTCGCCGTAAATCTTAAATAAAGTGCATAATAACATTTGTAAATAGCGCGAAGACTACGAAAAGGCGCCCCCCGCGCCCCCTTTAAATCCGCCACTAGAAACATGACTGTTTCTCTTAAAACGGCTACAGAAATCGGTTTTTGAGCTAGAGAATTATACTTCTCAAAAACATCATTTTATTAAAAAAACAATTTCCTCTGAAGCCCGAATCTCTGTATGCATACGAGGGATTGCAATTTTATTTTGGGACATCCTGTACACGTTCCCCGGGTTCTTTATTTACGGAATCAGCAATGCAGGATCTCATTCAATAACCTTGAAATTACATTTTCAGGCGACGAAGTAATAGAATGGAACGGGAGATCGCTCCAAGGAAAATCCTACCAAGAGGTATCCGACATCATAGCGGAGAGCAAGCACGAAACCAGCGTTGAACTGATAGTCTCCAGGAGTTTGGGGGGAAGAAGAATGCAGGCCCAAACCGGATGGAGGCAGAGTGGAGCCCAGAGAGGTAGGCACTTGGGCAGCTGTGCCTCGCGAGGTAAAGACGATGAGGGCTAAGGGAGTGTTACTATACTGGTATATGCTACGTCAAGGTCATTTGTGCATTACGATTATATTATAAATAGTGATCTAGATATTTGAGTCGTCAGGTTTTTATATCGAAGCAACCGCCTATGAGGAACTCGTCGTCCATTGATCAGTCGAACAGTCATCCTTTAAACAGCACGGATAATCAAGTCAGGGCGACAGCACCCCAAACGTGTGAGCAGTAGTTGAGGCTAGGTCTTATCTGGACCCTATACAGAGTTAGGAGGTTAGGAGACTGGACTCTGATTTTATATTTTCCATAATTACAGCTGCCCCGTTTATGCACTTGGTGAACGAAACGGATATGAAATTATCATGTCCGTAACCAGCGTAGCATATGCCAGTTCTCATGCCAAACCAGCCCAAATTCTATAATTAAAATCCGAAAGTTCTAATCTCTTGTCGCCGGAATTAGAACGGCGGTGATTTTAGCTAATAGGATAATTAACGTAATTAACACTAGCAGCATAGAATATGTTCGCTTTTAATTAAAAAAATATCCACGACTGCATCTGTGCACCACTTTGCACTTATTTCGAACAACCGGTTTTATCTTAGTTAATCTTCACCCACTTTCCCACAAAAATATTAAATAGGATTCATAATTATGGTCTTACTCGCATAAATTTACTGATGCTAAGGAGAACACCTTAATGACTGAATGTATAACAATCTGTATGGTCCAGTCATAAAGGTACCCTTGAAATTTAGTAAGAATAGGCGGATTTTGAAGAGAAATAAGATAAGATGTGTGTAAGATATTAGCGAAAACTTTTATAGCATGAGCTGCGCTGGCTATCAGGTGGGTTGCAGCTTATTGGCAAAGACCCGCGACTTAACAAATTACAGGAAAACGTCTAATGGGGCGATAACCTCGCATTCAATTTTTTTCGTAATCATCGCTGTTGGAGCTGGGTAAAAATTTATTCATTTATTTTCTTAACTTTTTTCTGTGCATCCTTATTACAATCTTTCTTGAAAATAGTATAGATATTCAGGAATGTATCCATCAGTGATAAATCCTTATCGAAATAACTACGATAGAGTTGGGTATTTAAATGTTATGAACAAAAAAAGGTCTTTATTAACTTTCCTTTATCGAGTTGTAGGTCATTTAAATTATGAAAAGCCCTTAAAAATGCCCAATTTCGAAGATTAAAAACCTGGTCAAAATTTATTACTTTTGGGGTTGCCAAGTATCTAAGTCAAGTTTTAAACCTTTCTTTACAAGTTTTTATGGGTGCATTGTTGCCTGAAACTGAGCAGACTTTTATAAAAATTGATAGTCGTTAACTATGCGCCTTAAAAATGTTACATACACAAATTGATATCATGTTTTTCCTAAGATTGAATAAAATTTTGCATTGTATCTAACTTTGATACAGCCGGTTGTTCATAGTTCAGTGTTAGAAGCACCAAACTTACATATACCTGTACAACCACAACACACGCACACACACACAATCTCCTGAAATCAATTAATCTATCGTTATTGTATTGTCGACGTCCTTTATCTGTTTCCTATTACTTTTATTTTTATGGGAGCAACAACTATATCTCACCTTTGTTGAACACACTCCACTTTTTATATCAGCTTATGTATTAATATTGGTAACTTTACCACTGGTACTATGTGTTCGTGTTGTCTGTACTCTTATGAATACTACTTCTAATTGTATCTGTTACTTAATTTAGACGTAAGCTAAGATATTTTGACGTGCTGAAGTACAACTTGGATTCGTGAAAACGACTACTGCAGAATAAAAAAATAACCTAGAAAATTTTGTTGTAAGGAAAATACACATCTCAATATATTCTAATATCCAGGGAGGATTTAGGATTTTCAATTTTGACTAAAAACGTCACAAAAATGGGACCCAGTCAATTTGTCTAAAAATTCAGTGTGATATATTTCTTGCCTCGCTGATCAACAATTCTAACAGAATCAAAGCAATTCTATGATTAGTTTCCGAGAAATATGCGGAAGTATGCAGATTTTCAAAAGTGGTGAATGTGCACATGAAATCAATGTGTAAAGTTGAATTTATGGCAATGCCGACGCTTCGTTAGCCTTCAGCTGTTAGTTAGACGAAAGATCCAAACGTCGTTGTAGTATTAGATGAAATATCGACTATGGATATATTATTTTATGAAAATAACGAAGATTTGTTTCTTTCTATTTCTCCTTCAGAATCAACATGACCTTCAATTGTCCTTGTAAAATACATAATCAAAGGCAGCTAAACAACAACATTTCCGTACCTTTGTGAAGCGTTTTTTCTTGATTCTCCGAGTATTTGGCCTGCTTAGCACATTCATCATTTTTCCAAATAGGACAAACTTCCTTGCCTTATCTCTCAGAAACTAATCATAAGATTGCTTTGGTTCCAAAGGAATTTTTGTTCGGGTAAGCGAGACAAATAGCATACTCAATTCTTAGACAAATCTACACGGGAACCCATTTTTCATACTTTTTATGAGAAGTCCTTTATTGAAACACCGTATTTCCGGATTGATTGCATGCACTCACGCAACATATTTACTGCGTTTTGCATAACAGGTTTAATTTCGCTTATTCCAATACAGATATTTTCTTCCAAGTGAACAATGTTTTTCGGAGTTTTTGGAAGACCTCACAGGAAGAGTCAATGGGTGTCAGATCTGCTGATCATACCGCTATGCAAATAATCGGGGCATTTTCTTTGAATATTGCAAGAGGCGTAAATATAGGCAATTTTTTTTACCTTCTACCGACGGTTTTCAGGCAAGATGATGCAATTCAAGGTCTCTGTGGACCAACATCCGGAGATTTTTTTGGAGTAGTTGATGTCTCGCTTTTGTGATATCAGGAACAAATGAAGTATTACTTAGGCACCAAAGGGGTTTTTTACTTTATATGCCAACATTTTAAAAGAACAAAACAAATGAACGTGTTAATCCAATATCATAATAATTGAATTGCCATGCCAAAAATTTGCTTGAATCAACATTATGTTTAATCTCTCTATACTAAGCATATTACTCATTTCTAGACTTGACAATAAAGAAGTTAGAACAGATTGAAAAATGCATGTACCAATGCTTACGAAGGTATGGGAGTGGGTGCTTAGTTTTGCTGATAAAGGGCAAAGGTCGTTACGGGAACGGCTTCTCACATGGCCACAATAATAACTAGATTTGACTCTCGTGGATGTTTTGCCACGAGACTATCTCTCGATGTAAGCAAAATTGAACCATCTAGGCCTCAACGTGGCATACAAAATGCAGAAAACAGATTCGATGATGTATGTATACAAGAACTTTTTGATAATTAACATCCGCAAATCAGTGGCTAATTTTCAAAAAACATATTTGCCCTAATTTGTATAACATTTATTTTAAAATCTCAAACCTTCTTTGAAATACCCTCAGCAAACTACCCAATATGCTTTTGTACAGAGTAAAATGGAAAATATTATAGAAGACTAGAGTATTTAGATGTTTTCAGGATATCGCAAAATGGATTAGTTTTTATTCCATTCAATAACAGAGAAATGGATATTATGGTCATGATCAACCCATATAAGTTAGCAACATCCAAGTTGTACTAGCGCTCTGATTTTACGGTAAATAATTCTGATAATTTTTATAATTTATTTGACATATCAGGTGGTCCAGCAGACTGGCCTGCGGACCCGCACGACCGTCCGCACGTTCTGGTGACGTCACCGCCTCCCGCCAGTCCGCACCACGCCCTAGACTCCGCCCATCATCAACAGACCGCCCTAATGGGCGGGATTTCAGGTATTTCCTCTTTATGGCTAATTGTTATTGGTTATTAGGAAGTCCTTTGAAAAATAAGAACCGACCTTACTATTTCTTGGAGTTTTTTCTCACGTCAATAAATAAAAGCCCTTAGACGTTCGTTACATGTTCTACCACGGCAATGCTTGTAGCGTTTCGTCATAGTGGGCAAAGTTCATACCAAAGGTACTTAGCAATCTTCCAGCTACATCATTGGCAAAATTGTCGGCAGTGAGGCTGTCGTCGAGCGTCAATTCCAGTTGTAGCAAAAGACTCTCCAAATATTTGGAATCAGACTCGCTTTTCTAGATAGAATGACTTTTTATAGCTAAAATATTCAACATTTTATTTCCAGGTAGCGTTGGAGGTCGTCTACAAGTGAGACTGGGCTTTGACGCGTTAGCCCTCCAGTTGTTAGTGACGATAGTGTGCGCTACAGGTTTGGTACCAAGACCGACCCGAGGCCAGGCGAGGAATCCTTACTGTAAATTATTTTTGTTACCAGATCGATCGGAAAAAAGCAAGCGACGGACGAGGACGTTAGCAGGTACTTTATTTTCTTGAATCTTGTAAAAAACTCGGTGAGATATCAGAAAATTCCTTAAAAAACGATGCTTTTGAAATGAAAGCTTTACCAGAAAGACTTTGGTTAACACGTTCACTGCCCAAGCATTTGGGTATCTGACTCACCAGTACCAGTCGGAGAATTGTAGATCATTAGTGTCAAGTGTTATAAAAACTAGGTAAAATAATGTTTTTCACCACATACTCCAGTTTTTTATGCAAAAAAATAAACCGCCGCATATGTTGCGGCATGGGCACTGAACAGCAACATTTACTGCTCAGTGCCCAGTGACGCACCATTGTCGGCGGGAAATAATAAAATCACATTTTGTGATATATGCATTTATTGCACATGCAAAGTAAAACAAACATTGCATATAATTAATATAATAGCATCTTTAGCAAAGAAAACAATATATGACAGCATAGACACTGTAGAGAAAATAAAAAAATGCTTACAATATTCGAGAAAATAAGATAATGAACAGAAACGAAACTCTATAATATATGAAGTGAGATGACGAACAAAAATACTAATTATTTCGCAATATTTTTGTGAAAACTTTCAAAACATAATTCGAGACACAGTCCTGGTGTCTCCGGACACTTAGCACAGTAGTATTGTGAGTCTTTCCTAATACCTTGTTGCGAGCACCACCGACAACGTTTGCGAAGTTTTCTTCCGCTTTCAGCTACCTCACATTTACTAGGAAGATGAAGGTCATCACTTGTAGGTTTCGCTGTAGTACTAGTAGTTGGATCTGGCAACAATGACTCAATAACGGAGTGGCGATAATCCAAGTACGACAATTTGGGTGAGGAGAATTTATTGTACAACATAAAGGAATTGTACAACATCATTTCTATTATGTGAAGGCCTACTTTTTTATACCATCTAATGGTCTTCCGGTGTGATGGATAGTATGCCATAATTTGATCTTGCAGATCAATACCGGACATGTACTTATTATATTCCGCTATAGGTGTAGGTTTCATTTTAGTATTCCCAGAGGTAGAAGTCACTTCTTGGAGAGTATTTTCATGTTCGGTTGTGATGTACAGAACGTCCCTTTTATCCTTCCACTTCCCCACGCAAACATGTCCGCCATATCGTTGGACTGATTCACCAACCTTCAATTTGGCTTTTGATACGTCACCAGGGGTCTCTTTCCTTCCAGCCCGTAAAGTTCCTGTACAATACGTCATCCTATTGAGCAGCTGTCTAGCAAGGCGTACTGAGTTATAATAATTGTCCATGTATATACTATAACCTTTATCCAAATAATCACTTGCAAGGTGAAGAACAACATTGGCAGCATGTCCTTTTCCACCCATATCGTCAGCTGCTCCAGTGTATATTTGTAGTTTCATTATGGTCCCATTGCTCTCAGTAAGTAAGTAAAATTTCACTCCGTATTTGTGTTTTTTGTTTTTGATATATTGGCGAAATAAAAGTCGCCCGCGCCACAAAAGCATAGATTCGTCTATTGACAAGTTCTTTTGTGGACTATAAATGGCAAACATCTTATGGTTGAAGAAATCTACTAAAGTTCGTACTTTATGTAATCTATCAGCAGGCCGTGGCTCTCCTTCTTGTGGATTGTGGGCAAAATGCAAACATCGTAAAACAACTAAGAATCTATTTCTGCTCATATAATTTCGGAATGCTAAATTATAGAAACGATCTGTTCTCCAATAGTCTCTAAGCCTTGGTACCTGAATAATCCCCATAAGGAATATGAGCCCCAGAAATCTTGAAATTTCTTGCTTATCCACCGGTTTCCAGCGACTTATTCGTGAATGTGGTCCAGGGTTTCGATCATTTAGGAATACTAGTTCAGCATAATCATTTGTTTGGCTAATCAGCAAATCAAAAAACTCGTCGTCTGCCAGGAGCTTGAAAAAGTCAATGGGCTTGCCCTCACCTGGTATTCCAACCTTCAGTTCTTGGCGCCCAGTAAATGGAATTTTTTTGAGGTTAGGAGGATTTTCTAACCAGTTCACAATTGTTTCTAACGGCACTTCTTCCTCCATTTGTTCCGGATCACCCTCTTCCAAATCACTAACTACTTGCCCAGGCTGATCATCATTTTCAGCAATGGCTCGCTCTGCATCTTCAGCTCCGCTCCAGTCACTGTCTGATTCTTGGTAAGGTTCTTCCTCAGAGTCAGAGTAGAACATCAAACTCAACATTTCATCCTCTGTTAGTCTCTTTGGATCCCTAATCGTTGGCCGTTTTGGTCTAGACGGCCCTGGAATAGGATTATCCGCCATTTCTTTCAACACAGCGAGTAAACTACATACACAACATGCAAACACCCGACCACAGATGAGAGATACTTTTCATAACCTTAACAGCGTGCCCCTTCCGTAAACAAAGCTCAACTGCAGTACCCACCCAGCTACGTAGCATTTAATAGAGTTACCTCGTCGCCGACAGCGTGTCGGCGCGGGCACTGCTATGATAAGGCCCACGCCGACACAGTGTCGGCATGGGCAGTGAACGTGTTAAGTACTAAAGTGAAAAATAGTAGTATATCACATCGTATGCCACTGTTCCGCAGCGTGTCTTCGTGTAAGTATGAGTGGATCTCAACCAATTCGAATGCGGCCACCTGTCGAATCTTCTAGTTGATGTACGAATGTGTCTGTCGCTAATACTCAAAGTTCCAGTAATACAAGTGACATACAATACGAATTTAATGGCCGAAATGTCAAAAATCAATATATGTGAATTCCACTTTCATCCTGACTAGAGATTAGCGATTTTAAAGGAAAATAATGTAGGTTTGTCTCTCCTGCCGAGTTTGAATTCGTTTACTTCAACGTACTGAAAGACATATCGCGTTAACGGTGGCGTACGATGCATTGCGTACCTATTTTTCTAGTATTTGACCATAGGTGTGTCTCTTTACCCTCCAGGAACGACTGAGCCCATGTGGAACCAGACATTTGTCTACTCTGGTCTACGTAGGGCAGACCTGCGTGCTAGAGCTTTAGAAGTCACAGTTTGGGACTACGTCAGATTCGGTGCCAACGACTTTCTTGGAGAGACTGTGATAGAATTGTGGCCGTTAGATGAGCAACCAATGTGGCGGACGCTGGGACCACACGAAGAGGTCGGTTTAAAAATTAGTAGTTTCACAAAGAGTCTGCGAGGAAATTTTCATTAAACTCATTAAACTCATTAAACTCACGTTCACTTCGATAGAATGCTTAAGATAGATAATAATTTTCAATTCAAACATCGAGGTCAATTGGTTCTGTGGCTATGAGCTAACGAAATTCCATACACTGCGGTAATTTGGGAGTCTAGATTTGAATATGCTGGTAAAAAAAATCTAAATTGGCCCTTTACAATAAATGTATACTCACAAAATCAAATGATGATTGGGAGGTATATAAAACTCTTAGGAATAAATGTGTGTATGTAATTAGAGAAGAAAAAAGGAAATTCTACGATAGACAAATCGATAATAACAAGTGCGACAGTGTAAAGATGTGGAAGACTTTAAAAAGACTGATCAATTCGAAACCGCATGATTGTGTATATCAAGTTCAATTCTAAAACGGTACCGAAACAAATTCTTTGGTGATTGCAAACAAACTAAATGAATATTTTATGGAAAGTATTGTTGATATTGTGGGTACTGCCAATGCTGCACCTGACTATATGAAAATCAGTTTCCAGGGGGAAATGTTGCATACACTTTCAAAATTTCACAGCGTATCATTGAATTATCTAAGAAAAAAAGTAAACAGTTTAAAATCAAATAACAACTGTACCGAAAGCACTACTAAAAACGTACTGAAAAACTGTTTCAAAATTTTGGGATATCCTGTATTAAATTGGATCAATTGTTCACTGAGAAGCAGTTCTTTTCCTGAAAATTTGAAATGCTCTACAACAACACCAGTTCCCAAAATAAAAAATTCTAAAAGATGCAGCGATAGGAGACCAGTAAAGTAAATGTGTTACCAGACATTGAAAAATTATTAGAGTCCATAGTGCATGACCAATTAATGCAGTTTATAGCAGAAAACAAAATTTTAGTGGAGGTGCAAGCAGGCTTTCGAAAAAAATATTAGACAGAAACGGCTTTCCAGTTGGTAACTGAGAATTGGAGACGAGCCATAGACTCAGAAGAAGTTTGGATTTGAGAGGGCATTTGAAACGATTGATAGAGATATTTTGTTAGGTAACTTGAAGGTATATGGTATAACAGGAAGTGTTTTAGATTGATTTAGAAATTATTTGTCTAAAAGGATGCAAGTTACAAAAGTTAATTAAACTATTTCATCAAAAATTGAAAATACGTTGGGTGTTCCACAGGGCAGTATCCTGGGACCACTTCTTTTTATTTTATACATAAATGATTTACCTGCCATAGTCAAAAAATGCAAAATTCAGATTTTCGCCGATGACACTATGATTTATATAAGTACTAAAAATATACAGACTGGTATCTCTTATGTAAATGAAGACTTGAAACTTGTCTCAAAATGGTTAGCATCTAACAGACTAAAATTAAATACAAGTAAAACGAAAGCCTTGTTAATCGGAAAAAACAATGTACAAATGTTCAACTGAATATTGATGGTGAAGATATTGAATTCGTAGAAAATTTTAAATACCTGGGGGTTTTTGTTGACTCTCGATTAATTTTTGATATTCATTATGAAAAAGTTATAAATAAGATTAGTAGTAAAGTGGGATATTTATCGAGAGTTTCTGGATGTCTGAGTTCATATAGCAGAAAAATTATCTATAATACCATCATTCTTCCAAATTTCTTGTACTGTTCGACTATTCTATATTTAGCAAATAATTCCATTTTTGAAAGACTGCAAATTTTACAAAATAAGTGCATGAGAATAATACTAAATAAAGATAAATATACTCCAATTAGGCAAATGCTTAGCAAATTAAAATGGCTCAATGTAAAAAATTTTATCAAATATCTTGTAATGATATTCATTTATAAAGTAAAAAATAATATATTTCCGTCAAGTCTAACTAATTTAACATCATTAAATGTCGACCATCATCTACATAAGACCATAAATAAAGATGACTTCCATTTAATGACCAAAAAGTATAACATATGCTACAAATCTGTATTCCATCGAGGCTTGATTGAATATAATAAATTATACTCAGAGATAAAAGACCAGAAAACTTTGACAAAATTTATAGTAAAATTGAGAAATCACTTGTTAAATCTACAATTATAGGTTGCCTAGCATTAACATCATACACCATATGGCTTGAATTTACTAGTTCTAAGTTATTTACAATTATTCTGTTCATGTAGCCAAATGTGCTAAATAAATCTTTCTACTGCTACTACTACTTTTGTGATTACCTGTCGATCTCAGCGAAAAACTGGTATCAGATTCACAATACAATCACCCAATTTACCCGATCGTTAAAGATTTTTATGAATAGAGCCTTGAGACGATCGAGTCTTGCAGTGTGAAATATCTATTTCTGTACCCCGTTCCTAAAGTAGTCAAAGATTGCATCAATTAACCTGTGTTATGGGTGGGTTTTCACGTTTTTAGGAGACTTTTGACGTTTTCGGAACGATGGATGAGGGTGGCGTGTCTGGCTCATTAAAAAACGATAGATGACCTCATGCTCGCTGGTCGCTTTGAGGACTACACGTCATTTTGGACGGGTTTTATGTAAAAAACCTGAAAAACGTCAAAAACCGACAGTCTTGCAAATTATGTAGTTTTTAGTGAGCAAATAGTTTATTCCACATTTGATCGCTATGATTGCTGGTCACTGATGCTTAGGCTACAAAAGGATTCACAACAAGTGTACAACAGCTTGTGCTAAGTTAACATCTTGTACAAAAACCTATCCTTTATGCCTCAAGAAACCTATGAAATATCGAAAAAGAAACCGAAATAATGTCACTTTTCAAGATATGTAATACCTGTACCCACGAGCTCCTGGGCCATGTAAAAGTATAATATGTAGTAGTCCACTTTTAACTTGAATTTATCTCCAAAACAAAACTCAACCACTAAAATCTAAAAGTCCTAAGGCTCCCGATTCCTTTGACAGCTAGTTGTAAGCTCCCCCGTCTTGATTTCCAATTAACCTATTTTAGGTGGCGTTAACGCCTAGCGAGCACCTGTCCCCACCCAGCACAGGTTCCCGTTTCTCTGACAGCGACACGCCCAGCGAGTGTGACGTCGATGCAGGAGGGGGCGTGACAACTGTCAGTGGGCGGAGAAACGCGGATGGCGCCAGTGTGAGCAGCGTGGGGAGTAGCAGCAGTCCACCGAGGGAGCCAATGGTAACGGAGAGGAGAAGTAGACGAGAGGGGTATGAGGTGGCGGAGACTACCGGGAGAAGGGTGAGGATATTTTTTGAATAAATACTACTAATAGTGATTGATTGTAATACAATCAAGTTACAAATCAAAATGAATAACATAACTCGCCATGCACCAATAATATACAGATATCACAGAAACATGTTTCCAGAAACTTCCCGTAGCAGTTATACAGGGTGTGTAAACTTTATATTTAGTGGAAAATTATATGCGATTGGTTTATTCGAAAACAACACTTGCTTAGAATACAGCCTGAATTGTTGATATTTTATACACCAATATCGCTTGTTGTCATATGTTAATGTAATCAATAAGGCCCGTATCGTCAGTCGTCGCTACAATTGTAGGGCACCTTTATGGCCTCCTTGATTGTCATAAATTTCTACTTCTCCGTGTCAGCGCTCTATTTTGAGGTTATGTCACAAACATCTATTTGCATCAAATTGTGCTTGCTTTTGAGTTATATCATGTTTTATCAGCCTGAAATTTCCTACAATTTAAAAAGAAAACATCATCACAATAGGAGAGCGCTAACGCTGACGCGGGACAAGTGTAATCTAGAAATTTTTGAAGGAGAGAAAGGAGTATGACAATCAAGGAGGCCATAAACGCGCCCTACAGTTGTAGGGACGACTGGCGATACGGGCCTTAGAGTCAGGCTTGAGGAGATATTTCTTCACATTTATAGAAGATTATTCTTCAAATAACTTTTATTCATAACTATCTTGGAACTAATTGGATATGGGGTGTGAAGAAACACAGTTTCCTGTTACAAATTTGCCGACGTTTCGGAAAAATGTATTTTCCTTTTCAGGGATCTACAAAAATAAATTAAAACATTAAATTTACATATAAATAACAAATAGCGTTTATTGCCCAACAGTTAAGGAAACCATTCACAGGACAATCTCAAGAAAATCAAACTAACAAAAATATAAAACATACAACAAGCATGTGACTACCACCAAGGCCTAAGGCCTAAACACCCATTGGGTACCTTGGGGCTATAGGGGGATACAGGAGGAACGGGGGACACCAGACGGACTCTGGCGAGGAAACATGTGTGCATGCAACATGCACACATTCTGGCTCCGCCTACGAGATCCGCCGGGTGGTACCTCCGCGTTCGACAGTCAGAGACCGTCTACCACCTACGGATAATCACAACATCCATAGCCAAGAGAAAAATTTCTCCTGGGTCGACTGATCAAGAGACCGAAGAGTCTACTACTGCGGCCGCCGCTGCTGCCTAAAATCCTGAAATCCATAATGAGAAAGTTTATTTAAAAGTACGCCCTGGTCTATCGAACGCTAGCAATTCCCAGCATATACACACATATATAAAATATGTCTTAATTACAATAAATATCTTTTACATTGATTTTATTATGTAAATTGTTGATTAATGTATATGTAAAATTAGTGTTTTAATTTTTTTTTGTAGAGCCCTGACAAATGTAGTTTTTCCGAAACGTCGCCAACTTTGTAATACGAAACTATGTTTTTCCTAAACGTCGCCAACTTTTTAACAGGAAATTATGTTTCTTTAGACCCCAAATCCAAATAATTACAGGAAATATATATATATATATATATATATTTATCTCGATCTGCCACTAGTAATGAGTCTTTGTTTCAGCTGGGCCACTCAAGGTCGCATTCCGCCGCCCCCTGCGATTCCCCATCGACACGCTCGTCCTATCATCCCCACCACCGGTCTTTGTCACCGCCCGAAGCGCGAATGAGCGACTATTCATCCAATAGGAGAGCGACAAGGTTCCAGTCAAGGTCAGCCACCGCGACGCCCACCGGCTCGCCTAAGAAACGACAGCTGCCTCAGGTATGACGTCATTTCGTCATTGTCTGTCCGGCAATCTGTAGAAAATTTGTTTATGCATCATCAAGTTTATCGTTTGGTTGGACTTTCTGTGGACTCCACCACTTTATCAGGCAAAATCCAAAGTAGAAAAAGAAAGAGGGCAGGAGACAAAAAATGATAAAGAAATGCGACTGTTAGGAGTGAATAATTAATAAATATTGTTAAAATGACCGACGAATTCGTTACGTAACTGCAAAATGACAGATATACGGATGCGAAATGGATTTTATCCTCTCTCTGACATGCAGCATAGTAATAGTAATAACTTTTTTCAAATTGCTTTGCGGATATGAAACGAAAATAGCAAAGGTTAGATTTACATAAGCAAAGGAAAAATATTCATGATTAAATGAGAATAAAACAGGTGATAATAATTTATAAAATAAGCAGCAAGACATTATGTTTGTTTAAAAGTATAATTATCTTAATAGAATAATATAAAAAGTGTGCAGCATAAATGTATAATACTAACTAAAAGGATCGATAAAATAGGTTAACATGTAGTTATTAAGAACTGCAAGACTTTTGCAGAGTATAAAAACATTTAAGGTACAAGTATGTTGGAAGTTGTCTTTTGAAGACTTTTGAGTCGTTGATGATTTTTAACTCAGTCGGCAAATTATTGAAGATATTCACATAGGTAGTCAGGGCTATTACGGTATGTTAGTATTTTGTGTTCTTAACATTGACTCATTCTTATCGAAATTTTCTGCTAGGTACCTCATGCATTAGCAAGAGCACTACAAGAGCGAGTTGCTCAGGATCTAGAAGAAAGAGGAAACGGTAGGAGTGGCAGAATGGGGAGGTAAGTACAAACCTGGAAAATCGAAAGCTCGCTTCACATTCATATACATCTTGAACTCAAAACTACCAAAATTATGGTGAAGTACATGGTCTAAAACTGTTGTCTAAAAACTGTGCAATATTTTATTGATATAAAAGTCCAGAATATTTTTTGTACTACACTTGATCATAACACATCTTCCGTTAAAGGTATGTCCACACGTACCGCAGTTCGACGTTCGGTGGCGGAAGCGGTTGGGACCGAAGATACAGCGGATTGAGTGACAGCGATCTGGCCAATCACACGCGTTCAACGCGGCGCTCCTATTCGCCGGACAGGGACAGAGACCCAATGGGATTGGTGGACTTTGACAGCGACATGGAATCGGTCGCTTCAGTGACCAGTAGCGCATTTTCCACACAATCGGAGCGACCTAGAGGAGCCAGTAGGATGCCTTGGTGAGAAATTTATGTATTAAAATCGATCTACTTCGGTTTATGAAACTGTATTCCTCATTACGTGAAAAGACAAACTTTGGTAGTTACGGTTGCAAGATTCATACCGATCAGATAGCCTGCACGCATTCGGCGCCACCTATTGAGGAATGGCGCAATTAATGTTTTGCTGCCATTTGCCAAAGCTACTGCAAGCCGCATTTCGCTGGCATGGTTTGCCGGGTGCCATCTCTGATGGAGTCTCGTAACATCAAACTATGCAACCCACATTGCAAGCTGGAATGAATTTTGCAAAAATCGCACTTCGGCTTAAGGAATTACAAGCTACAGATTGGCTCCTAAAACTTTTGAAATCCTCCCCTGAAGGTATGAAATTTTGGATCAAAATTAATGTCTTGTCGACAGTAGGGCCCATCAGAGCCAGTGTCCCTCAGGGTTCGGTTCTAGGACCAATCCTGTCTCCAATGTGACCCCTAACGGAGACCTTGACATCCTAACCAAAATTACATTTCTCTACAACAAACGATCTCTAAATTATTTTTAAAATAAACTTAAAATCCTCGATTAGGATGTCCAATGAGAAAGTTCACATTTCAAATTTGAATTACGCGGAAACCGTATTCGCGAGGAAGAGGGGACGGGTCTTGATCGACGCGTCCTGCGTGTGGGTTAAATAGTCACAATGGAACGATGGACCGGAGCACCACGTGCTTTTGCTTACTTTAAGAGTGGTGATTCATCTGCAGGCGGTATTATTGGGCCGTATTTCTTTGAAGACACTTTTTCGCTACTATTGTAAGAACAAAACGTCGATTTAACAGAAACAATGCTGAATACAAGACCGTCCTCATATGGTTCTTACAACACCAGTGCATACTACCAGAATAACTTGTATCGGTATCCTCAGGAAGAGTCTTCACAAGGTCATTCAATCTAAACATAGCCCAAACTTATTTTTTCAGGAAACCCTTTATAACACCAACTCCTCCTCATACGCCTCCATATTCCCCCTTTACACAAAGGCGCAAGTCTCTTAGTCGTAGTTGTAGTTGTAGCGTCAACGCAAGTCAACCTGCCAGACCAAGAACCTTGACTCGCAGTAAGACGCTAGGCAATTGCAAGGGTGTTACTTTCAACCTGAACAATACTTATCATCGTATAGAACCCCTATCCTTATCTGCTAGACGAATACTTCCCAATCCATTGAAATTCATCAAAAAGATCCGACGTCGATATACTAGAAGTCTGGATAGAGAATATTCTGACATGGAGTCAGGTAGAGTTAGAGGTGATTTTTCTGGGGATGGAGGTGTTAGCTCTCCTGAAGCTACCCAAAAGTCTGTTGTAAAACAAGAAGGAAAGAGTAAGGGAGCTATTGGTGAGTGGCTCTTCAACAAAGGAGCATCTCAAGGTACGGAATGTGAAGAATGTATTGATGGAGACACTATCAGATTCAAAAAATATTGCTCCATAAGCTCTGAAGATAGAGCCAGTATCCCGAGATACATTGCTTCAGATACCCTAGGACCTCAGAGAATAAAAAATAGATCGGAAATATGTTTTGATACCAGACCGTCTAGTACAGCATCTCCATTTACTAAATGTTGTTCTATAAATGACCGTGCACCTCAAACTTCTATGTTGCGATGGGAGACCCACAGCGACCCAGATGGTCAAGCAACCTCAGACGACTCCTTGTCAGAACATTCCGATCCCCCTCAATCCCGTGATGAAAAGTTTAGTCTAGATTCAACATCATCTAAAGAAACGTGCATCTTCAAGATGTGCAAACTAGATGCTAGTACCCCAGTTAATTTTGCATCTGATACTAGCGAGTACCCGTACGGGTATCGGAATAGCAGCAAAGACCAAAGAGACCACGATCTGCTGGACCCCATAGAGCCCCTAGATCAGCACCAGCACTACTCCTCGAACCATCATAGCCACCATCACCATCACCATCATCACCACCATCGAGATGGAAGCGTGAAGAGGGGCCAGTTCACCAGGAGTTTGTCCAACACTGATCCACCACCTGATGAGAGGACAGGTATGAACACAGTTTAGAACTTCTTTTAGTCTATTAACATGATGTACAAAAATGAGGTTTTTGGGAAGTTTGAGACGCTTGAAGCTCAAATTCAGTGTAACAAAACAGTTCAGGAAGCATCTTTGAATCTGATATTCTGATTCGGATTTTTTGCAAAATATTTTGGCCTAAAGGTAAGTCGGTAAGTCATGTCGTCGGGTTTGTTAAGGTATTTAATATGTACCCCCTCCACCATTTCTGCTCTGCTGATACAAAGTTTGAAGTAGGAGAATATCAGACTCTTTATAGAAAACAATATGGACAAACATTTGCTCCCAGGATCGTTAAAACAGCTAAGAGGCGGGTAAAACGTGAACCTCTAATAGATAAAATTTGCAGATCAAACCAGATTCTTGTAAATTCGTCAAACCGCAGAAGATTTGCTATAAGGAGCATAAGATAGAAACACTAGAGAAACGCGTTTTGCTTCTAACACCAGTTTAGTGGAATATTCAAATATTCAGCTGCCGCCTGGTGTCTCTGCTCTCCTGTCACAAAACCGCTACTTAGTGGAAATCACAGACCAGACGGAATATTTCTTGAAAAATCACATGACAGATATCTCTGGCTGTGTCGGCTTTGCTGATATAAAACGTGCTGTTGGTGGAAAGATTTGATGTGGGAATCGCAGAAATGCAAGGAGGTGTGGGGAAAGTGTTTTGCTCCTAATACTATTTTGGCGGGAAATTCAAATGTCCCGATACCTTTGGATGTTTCTGCTTTCCAGATGCAAAACCTAAACCTAATAGAAACCACATATCAGACCAAATACTTCTTTCAAATCACATAAATAAAGATTTGCGTAAAAAATTTTTAGAATATTTTTTTTAAATTCCAAAAAAATACTTTTTCGCTGCAGTCTAAGAGTTATTAGATTTTTTTGGAGATTCTGTTGCATTAGAACTTTTCTCTACGGGATATATAATTTTTGACTGCGGAAAACAATTGGTCTGTTTATACAGTGGTCGGTGGCCGTGTCTGGGATCCGGCAGTGTGAATTCTGTCTGTATAGTGTAGCACAGTGAACGAGATTTGTGTATCGGGGTTTTGAACACGGTTACTGACCGGTTGACAAATGCTGTTCGAACAGGACTAATATGAAACTTTTGTTTTCTAATTTGAAGATTAGATATCAGGATTGCAGAAATGTGAAGAGGTGTGGGCAAAGTGTTTCACCGTTAACACAATTTGGCTAGAAATTCAAATTGTTCAGATACTTCTAACTGTTTCTGATTTCCTGTTGAAAAACCTCAAGCTAGTGGAAACCACAGATCAGAACAGATACTTCTTGCAAAATCATATAAATGTAGATTTGATATCGGGATCGCAGAAATCCGAAAACGTGTGGGACAAGTATTTCGCTCCTAATACTAGTTTTGCGGGAAATCCAAACCTTCAGATATCTCTGGCTGTGTCGGCTTTGCTGATATAAAACGTCCTGTTGGTGGTAAGATTTGATGTAAGAACCGCAGAAATGCAAGGAGGTGTGGGGAAAGTGTTTCGCTCCTAATACTAGTTTGGCGAGAAATCCAAACCTTCAGATATCTCTGGCTGTGTCGGCTTTGCTGATATAAAACGTCCTGTTGGTGGAAAAATTTGATGTGGGGATCGCAGAAATGCAAGGAGGTGTGGGAAAAGTACTTCGTTCCTAATACTAGTTTGGCGGGAAATCCACACCTTCAAATACCTCTGGCCGTGTCTGCTTTGCTGATATAAAACGTTCTGTTGGTGGAAAGATTTGATATCGGGACCCCAGAAATCCAAGGTCGTGTCGAGAAAGTGTTTTGCTCCTAATACTAGTTTAGAGGGAAATTCAAATGTCCAGATACCTTTAGATGTTTCTGCTTTCCTGATACAAACCTAAACCTAATAGAAACCATATACCAGACCAAATACTTCTTTCAAAATCACATAAATAAAAATTAGCGAAAAAAATTTGTTGAATATTTTTTTTAAAATTCCAAAAAATTACTTTTTCGCTTCTGTTTAAGAATTGTTAGATGTTTTTGTACATTCTGTTGTATTAGAACTTTTCTCTACGGGATATATCATTTTTGACTCCGGAAAACGATCTGTTTGTACAGTGGTCGGTAGCCGTGTCTGGGATCAGGTAGTGTGAATTTCGTCTATTCGAAGTTGAGTCATTTATTTTAACAGTGAGTAGATCTGATCAAAAGAAATGTTTTTTCCTTTACCATTTTTCTGGTAAAATTAAAGTAACAAAGTTATAGCCCTTTGGAAGTTTGAGTACTGCCCTGTCTCAATAATAATATTATGTGCTCGTGTTTGGCAACAACGGATATAATCCGCCTTATCGGTTCATCGCATCGGAAACAAAAAAGCGAAAGAGTTTGGAACGATGTTTTTACAATTATTTCATTCAGTTGTATACAGTCAGTGTCAGTCGGTAACGCGTGAGTGAATAGTGGTGTCTGTTGCGTGGCTCAAACAAAATAAAAAATGGCACATGTTTATGCGGATCGGTTTCCCAATCGAGTGCAACCAACCCCTCTTGCCTTTGTTAATGTAGTACAACGGGCTTGTGAATCAGGTGACTTAAGACCTCACATGGGGACGGCATGCCGGTGCTCCAAGACCTCACGATCAAATACAAATCCGCACTGAAATACTTGTCGGGAGGATACTTTATAAAACAAGGTAAATTTTTTTTTTAATTTTTTTTTATTTTTACACACATATTTTGGTTTATCTTCCTTCTACAATCATTATCTGAAAATTAATGACTCAACTTCAAAGTCACCCTGTATACTGTAACACAGTGAACGAGATTTGTGTTGCGGGGTATTGAACACGATTACTGACAGGTTGGCAACTGCTGTACGAACAGGACTAATATGAAACTTTTGTTTATTAATTGTCAATCAAGCGCGAGCTCAATGTATATCCCGCGTGAGTGCGAGACAGATACAGCATGATATCTGGAAATAAAGCATAGATGTTCAAACAAGACAAGTTTTTGAATAACTTGCAACCCTGTATCTCAATATTTAAGACACACGTTCATGTGAAGACTATAAAAGAATTAACCTTGAATCGCTCTCTCAAAAACTTTTGAAACACCTCGAATTTTAACTTTATACACTATCAGATTTAGATATTATTATAGTTCTTTTCGCTGTTTCTGGCGGATCAAAATAAAAAATCAAACGGTATTTATACGAAGACAATGCAGACAGACAAAGCGAATAAATTAGAGAGATATATGACAAGCATCTCAAAACATGGAGTCCAGAAAACAGCTGATGGCGTCTAAGCATCTGCTGTTCTTATACGATCATAGATAAACGCGGTGTTGCCAGATAGGTAATATTTTTTGAATAAATTTATTGAGCATCACTTGTAGTGAACGCATTTTTTCAAATATAGTTTTGTTTGGACATTAACTCTTGGTGTGGATATTGCAGCATTTGAAATACACTTTTAATTCAATAAACTTAGTCACACTTTCCGCTAGTATTCTCCGCCATGTTAACGTGCCATGTAGCATTTTTCAAACATTTTTGTCAAATCGGCAACACCGCTTCAGTAATATGAGTGAAATGCGCAAATCCTTGACACAATGTCGAGCCATCTATGAGCGAATCGTCAAACTAATCCTCATAGATCGCTGTTTCTTCTTATGTAAGCCAGTTATAGTCCAAGAGCCGATCGCAAAGATTTGGTTACATTGCGGACTGATATGTTATGTTAAAAGCTAGTCAAATCTTATCTGTGTTGATGCCTAACAGCAAACTAGGTAAGAATCTTCCACATTTATGCTTGTCACTGACAGTATGATAATTTGCTTGATGTGAGTGTGGATTATGAGATAATTTTTTGTTTGTCCTGTATATAAACCAGAGCAATGCATGAATATTCCACTACAATGGTAACAGAACAGTCTGTATTAAGTATATTGGAATACTTTCATAAAGTAAATGGAAAAACGTACCACTATCACTCAGTGTTCAAATTCCCTTAGGGAAGTCGAGCTCTCTGCTTGGTGGACAAAATTTAACTATTTACATATTGCGCGAGAAATTTTGATGTAAGCGCCAAAAAACCGTGGAAAGACAAATGCGTAACTCCATTACTGACCTCCATTATGGTAACATAAATAACATAAACCTTTATTGCTTACTTATTTCTTTCCCAGATGGCAGCCTGAGCGACACGGCAGTAGGCCAGATCCAAGGGCTGGACGTGGCTCAGAAAGAGAACAACAATAACAACAACCACCGAAAAGACATTCACAGGGAGAGAGACAGTGACAGACAGGGCGGCCAGTTTGTCGGACTGAGTAAAAAAAGCAATTCCACTAGCCAGCTTTCGGCGACAGGTAAGCCAAATTATTCGATGGATGATGTGGCTCTATATGTGAAGACTTGATTGTCGTGAATGTGGAGTTTTTATATAAGTATATGAATATATATTGTTGATCCGCGGGTAGTATATACCTATTCTTATTTATGTGTCTCGTCTTGGTATGCACTGACGGTGGATTTTATGACTAGCTTTGATCGGATGGGTAAAGTTAAGTAAATTGGCCAAACATAATGTAGTAGTTTAGAGACTGGAGGAAATCGCGATTAGGAAAGAAAACTTCTATAACATTTGGGACGTATGCAGGTTGTTCTGAAAGTTGACTCTCCTTATTAAAAGGAACTACGTTTGAAATAACAAAGGTAATGTGGGGTATAGCAACCGAAAGAAGTACTTTACTAATTTTTAAGTATTCTTTACAGGTTGCTTGTTAATTCTGTTTGATGTTGGTGGTGTTCGATTTACTTCTTCCTCGTTTTACATCATTCGGGGCTTCTAATGTGCCCACCTCGAGTTTCATGCGAATGGACTGCGTTTCCATATCTCTGTATGAGACAGACATGCCTACCTGGCGTGGGAATCTATCTGAATACACTCACGAAGCCTTTTCAACATCTCAAAGGCACGAAGACCATATCGGTTTTTTAAAATTTCTCAAATCCGACTTATGAACAAACAGCTCTGTCTACCTATACGGCGCCTGGATACTGAAGCGTGTTGTATCTTTCCACCTATGGTATAACAAGAATATTAAGGCAGCTCAAAATTTGAGAGACAAACAATACAATAAATGTTTATTCACAAAATCAAATGATGATTGGAAAGTATATAAAACAAATCGATAATAACAAGTGCGACATTGTAAAGATGTGGAAAACTTTAAAAGGACTGATCAATTCGAAGCCGCATGATTGTGTAAATCAAGTTCAATTCGAAAACGGTACCGAAACAAATTCTTTGGTGATTGCAAACAAACTGAATAAATATTTTGTGGAAAGTATTGTTGATATTGTGGGTACTGCCAATGCTGCACCTGACTATATGAAAATCAGTTTCCAGGGGGAAATGTTGCATACACTTCCAAAATTTAACAGCGTATCATTGAATTATCTAAGAAAAAAAGTAAACAGTTTAAAATCAAATAACAACTGTGCCGAAATCACTACTAAAAACGTGCTGAAAAACTGTTTCGAAATTTTGGGATATCCTGTATTAAATTGGATCAATTGTTCACTGATAAGCAGTTCTTTTCCTGAAAATTTGAAATGCTCTACAATAACACCAGTTCCCAAAATAAAAAATTCTAAAAGATGCAGCGATAGGAGACCAGTAAAGTAAATGTGTTACCAGACATTGAAAAATTATTAGAGTCCATAGTGCATGACCAATTAATGCAGTCTATAGAAGAAAACAAAATTTTAATGGAGGCGCAAGCAGGCTTTCGAAAATAATATTCCACAGAAACGGCTTTCCAGTTGGTAACTGAGAATTGGAGAAGACTCATAGACTCAGAAGAAATTGTCATAGCAGTATTTTTGGATTTGAAGAGGGCATTTGAAACGATTGATAGAGATATTTTGTTAGGTAAATTGAAGGCATATGGTATAACAGGAAGTGTTTTAGATTGGTTTAGAAATTATTTGTCTAAAAGGATGCAAGTTACAAAAGTTAATGACACTATTTCATCAAAAATTGAAAATACGTTGGGTGTTCCACAGGGCAGTATCCTGGGACCACTTCTTTTTATTTTATACATAAATGATTTACCTGCCATAGTCAAAAAAATGCAATATTCAGATTTTCGCCGATGAGACTATGATTTATATAAGTACTAAAAATATTTAGTCAGGTATCTCTTATATAAATGAAGACTTGCAGCTTGTCTCAAAATGGTTAGCATCTAACAGACTAAAATTAAATGCAAGTAAAACGAAAGCCTTGTTAATCGGAAGAAAAACAATGTACAAATGTTCAACTGAATATTGATGGTGAAGATATTGAATTCGTAGAAAATTTTAAATACCTGGGGGTTTTTGTTGATTCTCGATTAATTTTTGATATTCATTATGAAAAAGTTATAAATAAGATTAGTAGTAAAGTGGGATATTTATCGAGAGTTTCTGGATGTCTGAGTTCATATAGCAGAAAAATTATCTATAATACCATCATTCTTCCAAATTTCTTGTACTGTTCGACTATTCTATATTTAGCAAATAATTCCATTTTTGAAAGACTGCAAATTTTACAAAATAAGTACATGAGAATAATACTAAATAAAGATAAATATACTCCAATTAGGCAAATGCTTAGCAAATTAAAATGGTTCAATGTAAAAAGTTTTATCAAATATCTTGTAATGATATTCATTTATATCAAGTCTAACTAATTTAACATAAACAAATGTCGACCATCATTTACATAATACCAGAAATAAAGATGACTTCCATTTAATGACCAAAAAGTATAACATATGCTACAAATCTGTATTCCATCAAGGGTTGATTGAATATAATAAATTATACTCGGAGATAAAAGACCAGAAAACTTTGACAAAATTCAAAGTAAAATTGAGAAATCACTTGTTAAATCTACAATTATAGGTTGCCCAGCATTTACATCATACACCATATGGCTTGAATTTACTAGTTCTAAGTTGTTTACAATTATTCTGTTTATGTAGCCAAATGTGCTAAATAAATCTTTCTATTACTACTACTACTACTACTACTACTAATAGTTGACTAGAAGCAGGATCGCTATTAGACGTCTGGGTTATTTTAAGAAAAATATGCTCATTTTCACAAGAACTAATCGCCGTGTGAAGAGAAACTCTATCTTCAAGAGTATTTGCTACATAACCGCATTTGGTTCATTGACGCAGACTAGCAATTTAATATCCCCGCAGAAAACAATCCATAGTTTTCAGCTCACATTGCTTTGGAGGCTAATACAGGGTGTTTGGTGCATCGTTCGCCAAATTGAAATGGCGGGCAGAGGCGGTCTTTTTCTATCACCCCAGGTCCCTCAAACAGTTTTAGCCCAACGAAATTAATTATGTAGATTTTTTAATTATTTTTAGTAAAAACTGCAAAATGTAATATACAAAGTGAAATAAAAAAAAATAAATAGTATGTCCACCTAATGATTAATTCATCTTAATGGGTGATGTTGTACCAATCTTACAAAATCAACATTACTTGCCAGCAGCATGTAGTTTTTTATATAAAACTCACAAAGGGTTACAAGTCTCAATTGCGAATTTCTGTAAAAAAAACTAAAATCGTTGACGTTCTTAGAATTCCTTTAAACTTACTCTTGTTTATCCCGATTCTAACGGTATGCCACAAGTCACAAAAAAGTGTAACTAACTTAATGAATTTGCAAATTATTTAATTATTGTTACGAAAATAAAAGAACAAAAACCCTCTTATGCTGAATAAAGAAACAAAATTGAGCAGAAGTATCTCAAATCCATAGCCAAGGTAGATAAGATGTGATTCCTGACATTGTTTGTCACTGTGATTTCTGACAGTGTTTATGTTGGGATCAAGGCATGATGAGCGACTATTGTTCGATGACACTTCGTGAAGATTCCATGCAACATAAGAGAAAAAGTTGGAGAATAAAAGGGTATTTTAGACCCTAAATGTAACTGTGTCAAATTCAGTGAGATCGCATGTGTTCACATTACGCGTCATAACTTCCACATTTTTTGTCCGATTCAGACAAACATGAGCTTGTTATCTAGGTGACAAAATTATGTTCAACCTTGCATAATTTATGTTAGTATAAAAAATGTTTTGCCCAGAAAAAAGTCAATAAACCGTAATAATTCTCAAAAAAGCTTCAAAAATGCATTTTTTCAACTTTCAACGGCGAACACTACAAATTTAATTGACACAAATCATATATTTCCGTAAAGCAAACATGTGTGCTTTTTGAAAGTGACACATGTCCAAAAAATGACGTCTACCGTTTCCGAGATTTCGGTTTTTGCAAAAATCTCGTAAAAGGTTCTTTGGAAAATTAAATTACAGTCAGTTTCATTTTCGGCGACTTCAGTTTAAAAAACACATTTTTGTCGAGGTATTTTTTCGTGTAGACTAGTGATGATATGGTTCATATACAGGGTGGCGCATCGAAAACGAAACAGACCCATTTACTGGCAGCTCAGTTTTTTTTTTGGAAAAACGCTCATACCCGTCGATTTTGTTTTCGAGAGAGACACAAGTTTGGCAAAAAATCACGTTAACACGTGCAGCCCCCTGGGCGGGGATGACACCAACCCTAAAATCTTAAATGGCAAGGGGGGGGTCGAGTGATACCTTATTTTAAAGGTCCTTCAATTCCCTTTATAATAATGTAAAATAAATGAGCTTCAGTTCAGTAGTTTTGCAGATTTATTGATTTAAAGCTTAAAGTAGACTTTAATAGGTACATCAGATTAGTTTGTACTACTTTCAGAAGAAATTTGACTAAAAGAATTTACTTAATAAGTAAATGCTTTTCTTCACTATGCCCATGGTTTGTTTATCATTTTGTTGTTGAAAATAGCTATTGGAGCGTTTTTTTGTGACAAAAAAGTTTTTTCTTGAAGAAAGATAAGGAAATATCTCGTACTTATTTTAAATAGGAATTTAGTACATAGTTTGCGATTGATTTGACCAAACTTCTGTTGCTAAAATAACTTGTAACGCTTTATTACATAAATTAACCATAGTATATTCCACAGCAGAAAGAGTTAAAATTATCGAAATATTTTACGGAAATAATCAGAGCGCTAATAGAACAGCAGAAATATTTAATGAGCGACATGAGAACAGTAACGTGCATCGAAAATATCTTCAAGAACTTGTAGTTAAATTTCGGGAAACTGGGTCAGTCGCCCATAAAAAACGCAACATTGAAAATCCCATAAGGAACGAAGCAATAGAAGTGGGGGTTTTAGGGCAAGTTTGTGTAGATCCTACGTTACCCGCAAATTGGAGACTGTGTTTGGTGTTAGTCGACGTACTGTCCAACGGATTCTAGAGTCCCATAGTTTTCATCCGTATAAAATTCACCTGGTACAAGAACTTAATGAAGACGATTTTGATTGGCGATTACAATATTGTGAAGATATGAGTGAACGAATTATAAACGATGAACATTTTCTATTCAACACTTGCTTTTCCGACGAATGTTCCTTTTTCTTAAATGGCGTAGATAATCGTCAAAACTGCCGATATTTGTCCGATTCTAATCCCAGAATTTATCATGAGGTTCATACACAGCAGCCACAAAAATTAAATGTCTGGGCTGGTATTTTTGGCGATGATTTAATTGGTCCTTCTTTCTTACCTGAAAATTTGTCCGGTGTATGTAGAGATGTATTTGGAATTACTGGAAGACGCCATAGATCCTGCATTAACAGCCATAATTGAAAATCAGAATGATCGGCGGTACATTGCGAATAGGTTGATGTTCCAACAGGACGGTGCCCCACCACATTACGCATTACGTGTTCGACAGTATTTAGATCAGACGTTTCCAGATCGATGGATTGGTAGTAGAGGTGCCATTGAATGGCCCCCAAGATCGCCAGATTTAGCACCTTTGGATTTCTTCATGTGGGGTCATTTAAAAAGCAAAATCTATGCTACTCAGCCAACATCATTAGAAGATCTGCGACAAAGAATTGTGAATGAGTGCCTCCAAATTACTCCTCAAATATTGCAAAATATGCGGCAACGTTTTGAGCAAAATCTTTATTATTGCATGGAGAGTCATGGTGGCCATTTTCAACATTTACTTGCCTAACGGGTCAGTTCGTTCTTCATTTTTAAATTACTTTGCTGCCAAATGTATTGATCTCCACCAATGATGATGTATTAGTTTTATTTAAGCTTTAAATCAATAAATCTTCAAAACTACTGAACTGAAGTATACTTTATCTGAAGTCACTTGAAACACTGTGAAATACCGGGTGCTTTTTATATATCTATATTTAACACGCTCTGTTGCTGCAAAAATCGCCAAATTTCGCAGCAAATATCCCCCGTATAAGATCAAAGGCAGTTTCACCGGTCCACGTGGAGTAAAGCACGCCTATGCGTGGACATAGCCAATGAGAAAGCGTGTATTTCAGAGCTCCGAACAAGTGCAGGTGGCTACTGAAAATTGAAACAGTTTAGCCAGTGCCGTGTAGCGGTGAATAAACGTGTTTTCTTTAGTCTGTCCGTGTTTTTTCATAGATTTTATTAGTTTGTGTGTTTTTGACTTTTGAATACTCAGTTTACTTGTTGATTTAATTGTTGTGTTGATTGTTCTTGTGTGTCCTAAATATGGCTCTTTGGAGACCTTGGGAAAATGCTCCAAGCCATGAGGAGATGGTTGATGAACCTGTGCAGGCAGAATTCTTTCATAAAGATTTAGAGGAACAGACCCAAAGAGTAATCCCAAATATGTATGATTGTCTGAAAAACGAAAATCCAGATTCCTCGCAAAATCAAATTTTAAACAGAATTTGTATCCTGACAAAAATCAGTCGGTCTACCATTTATCGGGTTATAAAAAGGGGAGATGTAGTCAACCATTCCTTCCACAGAAAGCGCATAGGGCAAGAATTAAAAAGAATAGACGTGGGTTTTCAGGAAGATATTCGTCGTATAATATACGGATTTTATAAAGAAAATTTGGTGCCCACGTTGGAAATGATACGGGATAAATTAAAAGATTATCCTGAAGATTTTTATAATTACAAATGCTTAGACTCACTGCACTGTATTGTAAAACTGTGTGGTTTTCAATACAAAAAATTAGATAAAAGAATGGTGATTATGCAGTCGTCTCGAATCGTTGAATTACGCCAAGAATTTTTGCACAAAGTTAAAATCTATAGAGAGCAGAAAAGAAATCTGATTTACCTGGATGAAACGTGGTATGATACCCATGATGTTGTGCAGTACGGCTGGGTTGACGACAGCAACAAGTGCATTTTAAATGCACCATGAAACCGTGGAAAACGAATCATTATTCTCCATGCTGGCAGTGAAAATGGATTTATACCTAATGCCTTGCTGTTATCTGCCAAAAATATCAAAGAATCATGTGCCGACTATCATGAGGACATGACCTCCGACTTATTTGAAAAGTGGATAGAGCAGCAGTTAATACCAAACATTTCCCCAAATTCAGTGATTATTATGGACAATGCGCCATACCATTCCCGACAGAAAAACAAAATTCCGAATACAGGCACAAAAAAGCAAGACATTATTGATTTTATGAAGGATAAGGGAATGGAAATACCACAAAAATCAACCAAAGCCATATTATTGGATCTTATTAAAAGACAAAAATTTGAAAAAGAGTATGTTGTTGACAATCTGCTTCAGCAAAATGGCCATGAAGTATTACGTCTACCTCCCTATTACTGCATTTTTAACCCGATTGAGTTGGTCTGGGCTGCTTTAAAGAAAAGTAAGAAAACATAATCAGACCCCTCAATTAAGTGAATCGCTATTGGCCACAATAAGAGATGCAGTATCTCATATTGCTGCCACAGACCTATGGAAGCAGTGTTCTAGGCATATTATTGAAAAAGAAAATGAATATTGTGTTTTGCCTCCTGTAAATCCCGTTGTAATTCCTCTACAAGATGACTCTAGCGACAGCTCCGAAGGCGAGGATGATATATAAATACCTATAATCTTTATATACCTTTTTATATACCTACCTGCTATGTAAATATTTGCCTATGTCAAACGTTGGAATTCTGTAATTTTTCCATTTCTTAACTTTCAGTCAACATAAATTAAACTCCCAATATAAGTATTTTTTATCCCAAATCAAAAAAATAAGAAGATAGTAAAATCCATTTATTGTGATATAAAAACATCGTTCTAAATAAATGACCGCACGCCTATGATACGTCATGAAATTACAAAGGACGCGCCGACCAAAGATTTTTATGCTATTTCAAGTGACTTCAGATAAAGTATACATTAATTTTATATCATTATAAAGGGAATTGAAACGCCTTTAAAATAAGGTATCACTCGACCCCCCTTTCCATTTAAGATTTTGGGGGTGGTGTCACCCCCGCTTAGGAGGCTGCATGTGCCAACGTGTTTTTTTGCCAAACTTGTGTCCCCCTCGAAAACAAAATCGACGAGTCTGAGCGCTTATCCTAAAAAAAAACTGAGCTCCCAGTAAATGCGTCTGTTTCGTTTTCGATGCGCCACCCTGTACATCTGTTTCTCACTGACAAAGTTCTGAAATCTGCTCTCAAACGGCTGAGATAAACATTTAATTTCGTACTTAGAACAAGTGAGCAATGTTGAGCTCCTATTTCAAATGGTTTTGTGTTTTTTAAAAAGGTTAATATTTTCTGTGACTAAGAGATTTGATTTTGCTTTGAATACACTTATAAATTGAAGATATTCGAAAGTGAACAATATTTGCCTTGTAATCGACGACGCACAAGATACAGACATGCAAAACTTTTTGACTTGCCAGAAATTTTATAACGTGTTGCGCGGGACATTTAAAACTCGTCTGCCTTCCACAGGTGGGCCGCGGGCGTGGTTTTAAGCAGTCTCGACCTAAGGCCCGTATCGTCAGTCGACCCTACAATTGTAGGCCGCGTTTATGGCCTCCTTGATTGTCATACTGCTTTCTAGATTACACTTGTCCCGTGTCAGTGTCAGCGCTCTGCTAATGTGAAGATTTGTTTTCCTTTTAAATTTTTTCAGGCTGATAAAACATGATATAACTCAAAACCAAGCACAATTTGATGCAAATTGATGTTTGTGACATAACCTCAAAATAGAGCGCTGACACGTAGAAGTAGAAAACTATGACAATCAAGGAGACCATAAAGGCGCCCTACAATTGTAGGGACGACTGACGATACGGGCCTAAAGCATCTGTAGCTACATTTCCGACGTTTCGTGGTGAATTGCCTATTTCATCTTCGTGTCAATAATATATAAATGCTTTCTGACTTAACTTTCCTCAGCCGATGACAGTTTTCTGAGGATCCATCCAAGTGCACCTTTCTCGAATTCTTAGTTCATAGTTAGTTCGTCGCAAATAAACCGAAAACCACGTGCAGGCTCTGTTCCCACCTCCCCCCTTCCCTATTTCTAACAATTTTTGAACAAATGCGCAGGTCGAAAACGTCGCATGGGGTTCGGTAAGAGAGGGAAGACCTCTTTCACCGTCCACCGGTCCGAGGAGATACTACCCGGTGATGTGCGGCTGTCTAAACAGGGCTCGTCGGCGTCCAGCGACGGAGAGGGGTCTACAGATGGGGACAGGTGTTTAGTCGTTCTGAAAACGCAAATGGTGTTTTTTGGTAGTATAAGCGGTTCACATTTTCACAAAAAATGCAATTTTATCGCTTCTTCAGTGCAAGTCAGACAATCTTCATATTTGCGCTACAATCTAGCAAGTACCATAAGATGTTACAACTTTAGAGCTCTGTGATCGATATTAAAATCACCAAAGAATTCACACTAGGAAGAAGGAGCAAGATTATGATTTGTTTGTGACCAAAATTACGTAGTCACTGGTCAGTATGCAAGTCAATACTACAGGTCGATTATTCTTAACCCGCCAGTTTGACAGTTGTTGATATTTCACATTAAATTCGTACCTTTCTGCGAAAACATATAAAGGTGCGTCGGTTCCATATAATCCTGGTGTTCCAGACAGTTGCCGAAAATGGTGAAAGTTTCTGTGTTATAGTCATCGACGTTGTGAAGGATGGATAGATAGTTTTTTATTTACATAAGAATTATTATAGACTATTGGAATATAGTCAGTATTATAAATTATGAGGTATATGTATATAAACCAGGAACATAAAACAAATATTGAATAAATATAACAAAGCACAATTATATAGGACTTACGCTAATCCACTATTATTTATACAGGGTGTAAACGTTATAGTAGCCATTATTGAAACGGGTAATAGATAGGGGTCAAAACAAGTGAAAAAGTTCATATATCAATCAACAGATTTTTGTCTAAATGGCTTTATAGTTTACAACTTTAAGTGCTTTATATCGACCACAATCTTACTAATTTTTATAATCTAATCTAAAACGTTTCTAAATTGGGTAATTAACAAATAAATGACATTAAGTTTTTCTGAGTTAAGCCGAAATTTGAGGTCAGTAAGGAAGTAAGTTTCATCAAATTAAATATTTAAAACACACATGAAAACAGCGCGTCGGTCATTCCTTACACTTATCGAACCGGCAATCGATCGCAAACGGTAACAGTGGTATTATTTATACAGGGTGTAAACGTTATAGTAGCAATTATTGAAACGGGTAATAGATAAGAGTCAAAACAAGTGAAAAAGTTCGTATATCAATCAACAGATTTTTGTCTAAATGGCTTTATAGTTTACAACTTTAAGTGCTTTATATCGACCACAATCACCACAATCTTACTAATTTTTATAATCTAATCTAAAACGTGTTTAAATTGGGTAATTAACAAATAAATGGCATTAAGTTTTTCTAAGTTAAGCCAAAATTTGAGGTCAGTAAGGAAGTAAGTTTCATCAAATTAAATATTTAAATCACACATGAAAACAGCGCGTCGGTCATTCCTCACACTTATCGAACCGGCAATCGATCGCAAACGGTAACAGTGGTTTGTTATTGTTCGCGTACGTCGTCGTGTTTATTTACAATGTTCTCGAATCAAGAGTTCGCCGAAATGTTGTTAGTTTACGGTGAAGCTCGTCAGAATTCAAATCTTGCAGCTCAAATTTATAGCGACAGATTTCGCCAACGGATACACCCAGACAGAAGGACATTTGTACCAAAGTCTTCGAGATACAGGGCTGCCCACTAATATTCGCACTCGTAAAAAAAAGGTTACTGTAGAGCAGGAGGAACAAATTTTAAATATCGTGGAAATCAATGCAGATATCAGGTACTCGGTAATTCGGCCGCCGCGTAGGACTATCGCATACCATAGTCCATAGAATCCTACGGGAAAATTTGCTTTATTCCTACCATGTACAACGAGGGCAGGTCTTGTTACTAGAAGACTATCCTCGCAGACTAACATTCGGGCTGTGGTTTTTGCACAAAAATATTGAAAATCCAAATTTTTTTAAAAACATTCTAGCGGCAGACGAATGTACTTTTACGTGAGACGGGATATTAACTTTCCATAATACTCACACGTCGACCCAAGAAAATCCTCATACCATTCGTGAAGGTCAGTTCCAACAACGTTTTAAAATAAATATTGGAGCGAGTATTCTTGACGATCATGTATACTAAGTGACATATAAATCCGAACACCCAGTTTAAATGGTTTTATTTTAATAAAAGTTGGTGAATGTATTTATCTTACTGTAAATAACAAGTGAAAAAATGTTCAGCCTTATCAGTTGGACATTCCGGTTTTTATACTGCTTTTTTTTAATTCACTAACGCTCTAAAAATGAATATTTCAGCCGCAGTAAAGAATCAACGTTGGCGGATTTTGGTTCTTGACATCCTTTACGATTGGTTACGATGCCTAGAGTACAGAGACCTGTACGATTTCGTCAACTTAGTGAGTTTGATAGGGGCCGTATAGTGGGACTTCGGGAAGCTGGACTTTCTTTTCGGGCAATTGCAGTTAGAGTGCAAAGAAGTGTAGACACTGAGGTTAGGTGTTGTCAGGCATGGCTTCGAGAAGGCCGTACGCAAAGAGCAAGGGGCACTGGACGCCGCCGTAGAACAACACACCGTGAAGATCGCCGCCTAAGATTATTGGCCTTAAGGGATCGTTTCTCCACTACCAGGTCCATTGCAAATGAATGGTTTGCAGAACACGGAAGACCGATTGGCATGCGAAGTGTTTACCGACGAATGAGAAGTTTTGGCTTGTTTTCATACCGGCCACACTGGGTCCTCCCTTTAACTCGAGAACACCGATGTAATCGCCTTGAGTAGTGCAGACAACGGTCACTCTGGGATCAGGAATGAAACAGTATTGTCTTTAGTGACGAGTCTTGATTTTGTTTAGGCATGCACGATGGTCGTGCCAGGGTTAGAAGGCGACGTGGAGAAAGGAGGAATCCACAGTTTTTTGTTGAAAGACATGTTCATCACACTGTTGGAGTTATGGTTTGGGGTGCTATAGCTTATGTTTCCAGGTCACCTTTAATCTTCATCAGAGGTAACATGAACGCGCAGCGTTATATCCACGAAGTTCTAGAACCCCATCTTTTACCCTATCTTGACACCCTGGCAGATCCAACTTTCCAACAAGATAATGCCCGACCACATGTTGCAAGAGTCACAATAGACTTCTTTCAACATAATGATGTCACATTGTTACCATGGCCACCAAGATCTCCCGACTTATCCCCAATTGAGCACGTGTGGGATATGATGGGTAGGAGATTGCTCAATTTGCAACGTCCTCCTCAGACTCTAGAAGCACTTCGAGAGGAGTTGGTGGTTGCCTGGAATGAGATACCACAGGAGGACATTGACCACCTGATCAGAAGCATGCCTAGGCGCGTTGGAGAATGCGTAGCACATCAGGGTGTATCCACACATTATTAAAGGTCAAAGGGCTTTAAAGCAGTGCAATCATTTTGAAATTTTTATCATTCACTTATTATGCTTCATTAAGTACTTATACAAAATTTTATTAAAATAAAACCATTTAAACTTGGTGTTCGGATTTATATGCCACTTAGTATAATTGGCCCTTTCGAGTTACCCTCAAAGTTGTCAGGAGGATACCTCAGCTTTCTAGCCAATAACCTACCAGAACTTTTGGAACAGACCTTAGACAACATGCCATTATAACGGGGACAGAATTTGTGGTTTCTTCATGACGGGGCACCACCACACATTTTTGGAGGCGTCATTCAGTATTTGAATGAACATTATCCAAATCGCTGGATCGTTCGAAATGCTCCTGATCCTCGAAAATGGCCAGCAAGATCTCCTGACCTCAATCCGATGGATTTCTGGTATTGGGGAGAACTTAAAGGGATGGTTTATGGGGCTGGTCCAATAACAACTGAAGCACAACTTCGCTAAAAAAAATTTAATGTGGCTGAAATAATAAATGGACAACTTCGAGGACGTAGAGTAAGAAGAAACTGGGTTCGTCGTGATGAAGCTTGTGTGGAAAGTGGAGGACGACATTTTGAACACCTTCTTTAAATACAAAAAAAGTGCAGTGTGGGTTTCAGAAAGAGAAACAATGTATGTAGCAAAGTTGTGTTCCCTATTTATAAGTGGATATTTTTAATACGTTCAATAAACTTTCACACACCAGGTGAAGCGCTGAGACAGTGGTAAGACCGTTTTTTTAATTGTTTGCATTTTACGAGTACATTATCAAATAATGAAATAATACCTAAGAGCGAAAAATAACAAACTCCATCTTTATTTACACTGCGTTCCGTCGTAATTTGCATCTGGCATTGCGGCGTTGTCAGATTTTATTTTACTCTAAAGTCGCTTTTCTCTAAAAAAATGCCGTTTTAACCCCCGTGTTACATGAAACTTTTTGCTTAGTTTAATCTCCTCTATCACCCAATTAAATAACGACTATCATAACGTTTGCACCATGTACACTAAATGACAGGAAATGCAACACCTACTAGCAGTACTGTAATTTTGCAAAATAGCTGAGATGTCCAACCTTAATGTTAATGATGTGATGAAGCTCTTCTGTTCGCTACACATTCGTTAAGTCGTCGCGGCATTCATTGGATTGGGTCATTGATATTGAATAAATAATTCTGGGTGTTGCATTTTATAGATCACTTAATATACAGTGTGAGTCTTCATAAAGTGTACATATCAAAATCAGGGAAACTACACTCTATTTCATCGACAGATAAATCATCAAAAAAAAAATTAAAAACAATAATTGATTTTTTATGAATATTTTAAGATTTTTAGAGTCAGCCCTATTTAAATAAATCGTTACAACTTTTAAACTGAATGTCCTATCATATTGGAATACATTTTGTAGTGATTGCTGGTAAAAGGACGTACCTCAAAAGTGAAGAATTCCAGGAAAAGTAATGACATCCATTTAGAATAAAGAAAATTTTGATGAAAATCTATTTTTTTTTCATCATTTTTACAATAATTTCAAATTTTCTATAAATATCGTCCCTTGTACCCTACCTTTTTTTATTTGTAAGTTATTCTACATGTTATCAGCTTTATAAAAGTAAAAATTGCACGTTTATTACTCAAATGTAACAGTTTCTATGAGTGCTTATAAAAAAGCCCATGCGCATCGTCTTGCTAGGCACCATTGTTTA